AAAAAAACTTATTTCTAGGCTGTTCTGGGCCAAATCAATATGTCTCAAACTAAGTGCTAAGATAACAAAACCTTTCTTCCTATTTCCAACCAACTTAAACCCTTATTACCACTAACCGAGCTGCCTTCATTTTTTTCCACTTAAAGAAATCAAGAATTCGACAAGCTCATCAAAGTGAATCCTGAAACTCTCACCAACAATCAGAGGTAATAGAACTGTACTAATTTTTCTGCTTTAGTCGGGAAGACTATTTTGTTTTATCAGTATTCTAAACAGATTTATAACCTTCATGATCTTATCAAAAGAACCTTCTCATTCATTGGCAATCTTTTTATTTTTCTCTAAAGAAACCAGGATCTCAATACCCTCATCAGAGTGAACCCCTCAGCGGTCCGAAGCGGTCAGAGGTGATCACATAAAATCTGTCCTATCATGTTTTCATGAGTCTGTGGTCCCAGCGTGCAGCGGGTTTGTAAAATGTTGCTTTGTTGAATGAGCACCACCAAAAACCCATCGCTAACCTGAACTTATTTTCTTCTCTTTTGAATAGCCAAGACTTGGACAATCTTATTAAAGTGCAACCGTCGGCTCTCAGGAACACAGCACGGTTAGTGACTTTGCCTAACTATCATGGCATGTTCTTAAGGTTCTGGGTTAGGAATTTTCTTTCTTTTCTTTGCTCGTCTTCCTTTCTTTCTTGAAGCCTTTTATTTTTCTTTAGTGTCACATGGGGACACATCTATAACCCCAGTGTTTCCTGTTCGGCAAGGAAACATGTTGTGCCCTTCTGGAATCAATGTCGTGCTTCAGACTCAGTTCTGTACTTTTTATTTGCACCAAGACAATGTGGTGTTTGTTGTATTTAGGAAACAGACTGTCAGAACTGAAATGAAAAATGAGCGAAATTAAGTAAGAAAAAGTGTTTTGGGGAAACTGAGCCGAACTTATGGTTCATATTGATACCTCCTGAGATCAGAAAGGCTACTCAGGGTCTTTGAAACTACAGATCCACAGCTAGGGTAGGCTCACAACGTGACAGCAGATTTTGGCCTTGAACTTACAGTTGAGTTCTGCAAATATCTTATCGTTCATCATCTTCATGTCATATCATTCACCTAAAGGGCTTTATTAATAGTTAATAGATAAATGCACCAGAGTGCATTAGAATCCAGACTGTTGTACTGACATGAAATTTTATCAGAGGAAATATATAGATGGGAATCATAGTCTCAATCTTCTGCAGGGAAGAGAGCAATTAGGACACAGAAAAGTGCTTCAATCCAATGGGAGAAAGAGGATGGACAGGCCCATATTCTCATTGATCTAGATCTTATGTCTCCTAGTTCGTTTTCGACATTAATGCTTTTTTCCACTTTTTCTGTCTGTATTTTTTTATCTGTTGTGGGGGCTTCTGAAGCAGGAAGGTACAAAGGTAGTTGCTACTTAGACAGTAGCATTTATTGGGCACCTGTCATGTAACTGGCAGTTTACACATATTTAATCCTCACAACAAACCCAGGAGAAATATACTCATTCACCCTATGTTACAAAAGAGGAAGCTATAGCTCAAAGATGTGAAAACACATTCTTGACCTAAACTCAGGTCCTTGTGACATCACTATCGGCAAGAAAAACAAAAGGTCTGTGGCTAAAACAGCTCAGATTCTCCTTCTCTGTTAATTTTTTACACTCTGTACAGTCCCATCCCTTCTATCCCCCTCCACCTCTGCAATTAAAGAACTACATCCAGAAACATTAATTCTAGAAAGTCATTGTTAAAATGAGAGGGAGGAGAGAAAGTACTGTCTCATAGAGTTTTTCTAGCAGCTGAAATACCAGCAGACTTTTGATGTTGCTTCTGCCACTGAAAATCATATGAAAATATCTTTATTAAGTAGAACCATTTCTTCATAGTGTACTGGTTGGGGCAGATTTCCTTTTTATTAGTAACAGTTTTAGGAGTGATTAGGTTTAATAACCACATGTGGCTACTGTAGCAAACTCTTCCCTCAGTGAGCCATTCCATAAAATGTTCTCTTTCCC